AGGGTCATGCTTTCATCCTGCTCCCCCCCCACCCCAGACCTTTTCTTGGCAAGGAGGGGCTTCCTTTGGCTCAGGATTCACAACCAGGCCCCGACTCTTGGTTCCAGAACAGGCTTTGGCCCTGGGCCTAGGACATGGGGTCACACGCCTCCTGGGAGCACACAGGAATGGGCCCTTCCCAGGAGATGCATGAAAACTCAATGACAAAGGTAATCCTGTTTTGTCACGTTGACAAGCAAGAGCAAGCCTGCAGGAGGGAGGGCCGGTCCAGCCCCAGAAGGCAGACAGGGCCATTGCTAGCAGGCCAGAATGGTGAGCAGCTCAGCACCAGATTCTCTGAAGGCACTTCCTTCTAGAGGCCTTCCAAACCAGGGCCAAGTCTTTGTCTCCTGTTCCTCCTACCTAATTTATAACATACACGCACAAATACTCACATATGCATACACACGTACACATGCTCACATCCCCGTACACATGCTCACATCCCCATACACATGGTGTGCGAACAGTTCTTTTCCCATTGAGGCTCAGAGGGTTTTGCTGATTTGGGAATCCTTGAGTCCTAAGAAAAGGTATATATGTGTACCAGGAGCAAGGTCTGCCTGGCATCCTGTCTCTCCCTGGAGTGATAGGAGGTTGACCTCTTTCTCTACCTCACTCTGCCTGAAGTTCTACCATTAACGGTTCATTCTGTTTGTCCTCAAAGGTCTCTCAGTCTTCAGAAGTCTCTCCTCCTCTGAAAAAAATAAATAGTTGGGAAAGAAACTGCTACGGGTCCCCAGCTCCAGTCCTAGCCTTGAATCCATTTTTCAGATGCCTTGGTAGTGTGGGGCCCTGAGAAAGAAAAGCTGAAAGGACCTGCAAGAGAAGGGCGGCCTGGTGAGAGGATGGGGCAAAGGAGCAGCCCATAGTCTCATGTCATGCCCAGTCTGCCTGGGCTGTAAAAGAGGGGAGAAATTTCACTCATGCATTCAACAACAAGTATGGACTGAGTCCTTATTATGTGCCAGGGGTCATGCCAGGCACTGGGATCCTGTGGCAAGCCAAGCCAGCTGGTTCCTGCCTGTGTGGAGTTATGCTTCACTTGCAGGAGGGTGAGTCCCCCCCAAAAATCACACTAACAAGCATGTCATTGCAAATCAAGGTTAGTGTACTTAAGGTGTGCTCTACAAGAATAGCCCCAAGGAACCAACCGCGACTGGGGGACCAAGAAGCCTTTATGAAGAAGTGATGCTTAATCCTAAAGAAGTGGAAATTAACTAGAAAAATCACTGGGACGAGTAGGCATTCCAGGCCGACGAGGGACCTGCGTGTGCGAAGGCCCTGTCGTGTAGAGGCCCACCGAACACTGCCATCGTGTGTGATCATTGACCTTCAGTAAACTCTGAACTTGAAGGAAAGCATTCCCTTCTAAAAATGGGTTTCCCTTTCCCTTTCCCCTTCCACTCAGCCCTGCACTCAAATCAATACCGAGCAACGCAGAGAAGGTAAGTAATGCCGGAGAAAGCCTTAAAAAAACAAAAGTGCAGACAGCAGCTATGACAGCCATTTCCTGTTTGGTATCTCTCACCACAAACCTTCTTGGCCAAATAAATTAGCACAGGAAAACATTTTTTGGAGAAGGATGTGGAAGAAACACAGCCTGAAAAACCAAGAAAAAGATCTCATCTGCTTTTCAGAAAAGAGCAAAGGTCTGAGGTAAGAGCCAGAGCCACCAAACTGGACGGGGAGTCACTGAGACACCGAGTCCCTGCCCTGTGCGTAACCTGGAGGACGCTGAGGCCCAGGGTGGGACCTGGATCAGTCGATGGCGGGGGGGGGGGGCGGGGGGGGGGCCTTGAAGCCATCTCTGGGCTCTGTGTCTGATATTCTCCTCTGGTCCCACCAGACAGCATCTTCTGGCTTCTTTTATCGGAGGAGGAACGACGGGGCCGGAACCGCCTCAGAGACCTCTATAGGGGAAGCTAGGTTGTGGGTTGGGTAGAGGAGCCCGGGTCCTTGTACTATGCAGAGGAGGATGAGGAGTTGTAGACACTAGGTTTTCTGTATTTGATCTTCACGGTGGATCTGGGAGACAAGGACTCACATCTCCATTTTACAAATGAGGAAACAGAGCCTCTGTGAGGAGGGTGAACTCCTGAGGTAACGCCCAGGTAGAGTGGCAGAACTGGTCTACTTTGAAAGGCCATATTTCACTTTCTCCCCCTTTTCCCAGTCTAATTCCTCAAGTTCCCCACCCAGATTGCCAGTAAGTTACCCACCACTTCCAACTGCCCCTCCACTCGGACGGCCTTCTCACACCTGGACAGATGTGCAATGTAACCCGCCTCCGTCACAATGCCCCCAAGGAAAAGTATGCATTGGTTCCTCTGTCCCAGCCCTAAGGGCTGGCTGGTGTGTAAACACTTGGGCTGGCACTGGATCCTCTCACTTTGGGTGAGTGTCAAACATTTTGTTTTGTTTTCTTTTGATTTAGCTCTTCCTCCCAGAAGTTAAAACAGAAAATTCCCAAACTCAAAGTCATACTATTCGAATCCGAACAGCGCTGCATGCTCAATGTCTGGTCTTGTTCTGCTCCAGAAAAGCTCCTTTGCTAACACATTCCAGGTAACAATCAAGCAGTTTGCAAGGGTGGGCTGCTGGCCCTCAGGTCCGGAGGAGGAGGAACACTACAGGGTTCAGTGGCAGAGGGAACTAGTTGTCCTCCAACACCCATTCTCTTAGTCTTTCATTAATAACAGCGCTCTCACATGTTAGCTGAGCACATATAGTATACCTGCCCAGCTAGAGACGTTTTCACAGCCTCCCTTGCAGCTGGGAATGACAACCGGACAAAGATCTAGAAACGGGAATATGTGCACAAATGATTGTGTCCCTTAAGTCTGTGTTTACTCACCTTTTCTCCTTTCTACAGGCTGGAATGTACATGTGAGGACAAGAGCAGGAGCAGCCACTTTGGACCCTAGAGTCGCACACTCAGTGCTGCTCATCTCTGGGCCGTTAGTGAGGAAAGAAGAAAAATCTTCCATGTTGTTCAAGACACTCTATTTTGAGTTCTCTGATTCACAAGCTTAAACTGACCCTAAGTGTTTATGCACTGATGTGAATGAATCTCTAAGTGGGGTACATACCATGCAGCACTTTTCAAGTATATACAATCTTAATACCTATTTCTCAAAAACAGTTTAGGAATGTGCTACTTGAAATACATCTTGTAAAAACATTTAAAACACATTTTCAACATTCTCAGAATCCAAACTGTAACCCCGCCCACAAGCTGTGCTTGTCTCCAATTATTCATCCAAGAGAAGTTTATAGTACATAAACTGCCCTCCCCACAACACTTCTCTAAAAGAACCCATTTCTTTTCCTCAAATCACTGGCCTCATCCCCGCAATAGGCCACACACCCTGCACTTCTAACTATGGGAATTCATGCTCCAGGAGACCATAAAAAGCTGCCAAATGCAGATAGAGCCAATCCCAGAAGAGGCTAGTTATAAAAATTATACTGACACCAGCCACTGGTGTCCTGATTTTAAAAAAGGAAAAAAATATTTATCCAAAGAAGATAAAGCCTCCCAAGCATGAGCAAGAAGCAGTCCCAGGTCATGGAAAAGTTGTGTTTAGAAAACAAGTCAAGAGCTCACTTGATTGAAAAAGAAAACATGCCCACAGTGAACACCATACTTAAAGCTAAAAGATAGAAGCTTCCCTCTAAGATCAGGAGCAAGGTGAGGGTATGCCCTCTCACCACTTGTTCTCAACATTGTACTGGAAGTTCTAGCTAGGCAATGAGGCAACAGAAAGAATTAAAAAGGCATTCAGATTGGAAAGTAAGAAGTAAAACTATTTCTATTTGTAAATGGCATTTTTATGTAAACCCTTAACTAATAGAACTAAGAACAAGTATACCAGGATTGATTTCAGAGATTTTGATTATTGATTTCAGACAGGATGAAGGAGAGAGAGAGCGCTATCAGCTGCCTCTTGCACGCTCCCCACCAGGGATCAAGCCTGCAACCTGGACATGTGCCCTTGAGTGAAATCAAACCCAGGACCCTTTAGTCCACAGGCCAATGCTCTATCCACTGAGCAAACCCGGCTAAAGCCATTTTAGAGGTTTTTAAATAGAAAATCATAAAGAAAAAAAATTTGAACTTTCCTGTTTTTACACTTCTCCCAGCCTCCAAAAAGGGAAGGTGGGAGGGGAGGGGAGCATTGGCTTCTCCATGCAAAGCCCACCCGATGGAAGGCCTTGCATCTGGACTCTCTGGCTCCACCAGAGCCAGCTGAAGATGGGCACCGGGATCAGTCCATCAAATCTTCTTTAGCACAGAGATTTGTAAGAGCAACATCAAGTCTGCTGGCTGCCCCAGCTTTCCCTTGTATTTAAGTCCTGGATTGTGAGTGAAACTGATATTTCTCTTAAACTGAAGGAGAGAGCCCATGATACCTAAAAAAAAAAAAAGATGCTAAGATATGAAGATAAGAGAACAGAGATAGAAGAGATACACAACTTCAATCAAAGCCACAATCCTCAAATTAAAATTAATCATACATTTCCCACTAGAATTCAGAAATGTTTCAAAGTAATATTTTAAGCCTTAGCTGGCTTGGCTCAGTGGATAGAAACTTGGACTGCAGACAAAAGGTCTGGGGTTCGATTCCAGTCAAGGGCATGTACCTCGGCTGCATGCTCTCCCCTGGCCCAGCAAGAGGCAACCAATCAATGTGTTGCTCTCACATTGATATTTCTCTCTGTCTTTCCCTCTCTTCCACTCTATCCAAAAATCAATGGAAAAATATCCTCGGGTAAGGATTAAAAATCAAATGAACGAAGTAACATTTTAAGTTTACCATCCTATTGTCTAGTACAATTGGCAGCACCCAAAGTCCTGTTAGAAGTCAAGAGGCATGTCATTCCCACTAGAATATTATTTAAATGTTAATATATTAAAATAAATAAAGGGAGGGAAAGAAAGCTTGCAAAATACAGACTCCAGTTCAAATTTTATTTGCATACAAAAATATATTATAATGAGGAAAGCATATCACTGTTTCCAACTATATATAATTAATTACAAATATTTTCATAAAAGCACTTTAAATTACATGAAAGCTGTCTTTTAAGAGAAATACGATATTAGCATGGGTGGTCTGCTCTAATATGCTGCAAGCAGGTAAACAAAGTCAGTTTCACTGTTGGAATTGCTCAAGGATGAGCCCAAAGGCTAGTTTTAGGACCAGCTGGGAATGGCCTGGTGGTGGGCGTGTGCTCATCTCTATTCCTTCTGGCAGCAAATTCTGCAGCTGATTTTACCAGGTCCTCGGAGCTTTCTGAAGCTTTCCCCCTATGATGAAAGGACCCAGAACTTCTCCTTTTCTCACATACCTGTAAATAGGACAGATAAGGTTATCCATTCACAAAAGTGTACAATTCCTATGTTTAAACACCATCTTGGATATGCATCAAAGCAACAAACTTAATGTCAGGTTTCCCACACAATGTCTGTCTGATTAACTGGTATGACTGGTCAGCCTGCTGCAGTTTCCATGAAGTAGACAGGCTTGTTACATGAGTCTAATGCAACTGAGCAGTAATTATAAAAAATCTCTGTCAAAACAGGCTTTGGTCTTCTGATGTAGGATGGTACAGTGTGTAAGAAAATGGGCAATAGCTCTGCAGGTAAAGAACACACAGGACTTTCCACCTAATATGTAAGCCTCCCTGAAACAGTGTGAAGAACAGAGTTATTTTTAAATAACCAGCTTTGGATCCAATTTTTCAGATTTTGCCCAGCTATTTAGCAGAGCACAGCAGAAAATATTTTTTATGGGAAATCAACTCTTTCATTGAAAAAGTAAGGGGCTAGGACAAAATTCTCCAAGCTTGTTCTGCGACTGAACAAGAAGAGAGCTACTGAAACGTTGATCTCAGAAGCTCTAGCTGTCCTCTGGCTCCTGAATTCCTGTCCTTTGGAAACAGGGTGCAGTGATGATCAGATATCTCCAGATTTCAACATTTTTAGTTACACAAAACGGGGTATAATTATGTAATGGCCAATGGGAAATAAGGTATTGCATACTCAATGCAGGTCTTTTCGTAACTAGCATGGATCTTTGGCTATAGGGTCTCCCTGGCTAACTCTCTCTCGGGATCCAACCCTCTGGAAGTCAGATCTCACCAAGCCCCTGGATCAAACCTGGGGATTTCCCTGGCTATGGGATGGTACCCCTCTGGCTTGTCAGCATAATGCCTGCATAGCCAACCAGCTCATTTCTTCTCTGAAAAGCCTGGCAGACCATCCTGATGGTAAAGCTCATCTTGCTCTAATGAGTACACCACTTGTACTCTCCATTTCTCAAACAAAATGCCATTGTTTGCTGGTGGCCTATTCTCCCAGTTTAAAAAGTTGCTCGGTCTACTTTAAGGCAGGCTGACTCTCCCAATTTCTTTCTGAGCCACTGGGGTCCTGTATTGGAGCCTAAAGAAGCCTTATGGTGTAACTTCCTGCCCCAGGCAAGTTGGTAAACATTACAGCACTTTATCAGATGTGTCGGTTAGTTTTCCGTTTGATTTTTTAATACCAGGCATGTACTCACTTGCTAATGTTCTGTCAAGATCAGCAATAAAGTCTTCTAGCTCTTTCGTGTCTCCTAGTTTGGCTGAAAAACAATAGTTGGAGTTCAGTTTCCCCATATTAGAGACAGCTGATGACTCCCACCTTTTCTACTATTATTTGACCCCGTTTTACATCTTTCTGTCTTCAGAGATGTTACTGATGAGTGTCCTGTACTAACCCCAGTGTCTGCTCCAGGGTTTACTTACAGTCAACTCAGAACCACATTCTGAAAAATAAACTAAATGATTCTTCGATTCCACTACCCTATCCGCTCCCCAACAATCTGGAAAAAGAACCTCCCTTTGAGGCCTTATAAGTTTGGGGGGTGATAGGGAAGGGGGGAGGGGGCTGAGGAGCAAGGAAGAAAGATAAAATGTTTTGCTTTTTTTGATTGCGTAGGATTTGAGTTTTCAGTCAAAGATATTCAGTAAGCATGGCCCTGTGTGAATGGACACCCAGACCCCCTAATTCCTGCTGTACTTCTCTCTCTGACACTTTCTTGCTTGTACTGTCTGTCACCTTAGGCCCTCAGAGTCCCTCCAGTATGAAATGAATGAAGAGCCACTGGTCCTTGTCGAAGTGGTACAGGGAAGGGGACATGAGGCTTCTCTTATCCCATCTAGGTGCCAGCAAGAGAGAATGAGTCCTTCTCCTGATCTTGTTTCCTCTGCATCCTGATACATATGTTTTCTGTGTATCTTACTTTTTCTTTCTGTAGAATTCATCATTCATGCCTTCTCTGAAATGCATTACCGGGTATACGTATTAATTAACCCCTGCTGGCTACAAATGGCTCTTTGTTTTTAGTTAATATAATCAATTTGCCAGCAGGGCTCTGTTCCCCTCTTTAATTCCTGCCTCTTGAGGATCAAGTAGCAGATCTGGACATGCTTTAAGCCACTTTCTAGACTGCTCTGTCTGTCTGAATTCAGCAGACCTGTTACAGACGGAGGGCAGGACAATGGCGGAGTCCCTGGAGGCTGCTAATATTGCTCTCCTGAGAGAGTTTTAAAACGGCTCCTTTGAAAGAGAGAATTCCACCTTAATGCCAGAGTGAGAAAAGTGATGGGATCTTCATATTTCTCTTCAACCAAGTCCTATTTTTATTGCATTCTGCAACTATTTTCAGCAAGTATAATGTTTCTTAAGGAAAAAAAAAACTCCTTTTGTTTTCAAAAGGGCCCTTGTTCACTGTAACAGAACATTCAGCTCTCTAGCTGGAGTCGCTTACTAGTTCCAAAAAATAAGAGGCCGCTCATGCATCTTTAAAGCTTCCAGGGCTGCTCATCCCACAGCAGAGACGGGCTGGAGCTGCTATTTAGAATCATGTTAAATCATCTTTTGTCTCATAATGATGGCCCCATTTAATTGCTAAATTGGTCATCTGAACTCATTGGTTAAATAGTTAATGCAATAAAAAGACTCCTACTTTCTGCAAAGCCTAACTGTTGAGTTTGAAACTCTGGAACCCACCAGCCAGGGAGAGCCCGCCCTCGGCACAGGCTCGGCCCAGGCTCGAGAATGTCGCCTGAGAGAAAGCAGAGCACTGCGCAGCGTCTACTCGCTTTCTTTCTCCCTGAGAATTTGGGTTTTTTGGTGACCCCATACCACTCCCACCGTGTTATCTGATTTCACCTCCACACTTATCAAAACCCTGAAAAATAATAAATTCCACTTTACACTATACTATACTAAGATATTAGTCATCTATTTGATTTGCTTTTGGGAAAGATGGGTTAAGGATGAGGGGAAGAGAGAAAAGACTTGGAAGAGGAAGGGAATAAGGAAGGGAAAAAAAGAGCTCAAACTAATGAACTCACCTTTCCGAGGAGTGATGGCGGGAGAGAGCAGAGCCGGGGTGGAGTCTGTTGGAGAATTCAGTTTTTCGTCGCTGAAGCTGAAGCTGTTCCTATATAATGAATCTGCACCTTTCAGGAAAGAAAACGTAACTCATTAGGAATGGTCTTCAGTCTATGATCAACAGCTTATCACCAAAAGGAGCAAAAGATATAAATTTCTAGTAAACAAAATGGGTTGATTTCCAGATTTTATATGTCTGCCTCCAAAATGATTTGAAGCAGGAGAGCGAGCGTGTGTTTAGTGTGTGTGTGTGTGGGTGTGGGTGTGCGTGTGCGTGTGTGCGTGTGCGTGTGTGCGTGTGTGTGTGTGTGTGTGTGTGTGTGTAATCACACGCACCAAAGGCCCTTGCGGCCCTGAAAAAGGTCAGGTGCATGGAGTCACCACAACCACACAGGAGCCCACTGCCCGGGTACCTGACCTACACCAGGTTGATTTGGGATCTTAGACATGTGGAATCACCTTTTCTAAAGAATGTCTTCTCTGAACCCCCTAAGATAGATACAAGGTTGGATCCCATGACTGAATAATTTCCCTGCCTGCTCAAGAGAGAATCTTTGTCATGATTCTGAAAGCTGTGTGGCCCTGTGTAAGTCACGTCACCCCTGAGAGCTTACACTCTGGAGTTAAGCTAGAGGGTCAAAGATAAAGATTTCTCCTCCGGTAGCTTGTCTGGTACAGACACTTAGAGTGATTTCATGGTTCCCTCTATTGTCCCCCAAAGACCAGAGAGACAGCAAGGCAAAGTCACAGAAGCAGGGCTGCACTGGGCGTCAAGGAAACTGCTCAGCTACGTGAGTGCCCTTGAGCAAGACAGTATCTCTGGGCTTTAGTTTACCCATCAATAAAGTGGGGAAATGGACTAAATAATCCTTAAAGTCCTTTCCTGATCTGAAATTCTGAGATTCTATTCCTCTATCTTGCCAAGGGGGAGGAAACCAGCCCACAGGCTGCCCAGCCATGCGGCTGTGACTGAGAGGCGCTGCCGGCTGAGCTGCACCAACTCAAAGGGCTCAAAGGCAGAGCAGACAGAGGAAGCAGGATGTGGCCAATGAGGTCACAAAGGAACAGTCTTCCTGGTTAAAACAAAACACAAAGCCAGCCCTGGCTGTAGCGGAGATGATCTCTGGAAATACTCTTCAGGTGAGAGAGGGAAGCTGAATCATGAGGGCCTGGCCAGCCCCCATTCCTCCTTAAGAATTATCCAATCACCTCCAGGTCAGGAGGCGGCAAACATATCCTTCTTTGGTCCCTTGTCTCCCCTGCTCTTCTGCGGAGTTGGGGGGTTCGGGGGGGGGGGGGGGGCAGCACCATCTTGTCTTCCTGGCCCACACACCCATTTTGTCCACCTTCTCAAACACGCCCAACCCTCACAGTTCTCGCCCGTTAAAGGTCCAGCTCACATCACCTGGAAGGACCACGTCATTTTTCTGGGCTTTGATGATGAACACCTACTGAGATCCAAATGCTGAACCTCTCACATTTCCCTAAAAACATATTCCTCAGAATACTGGTCCTTTAAAAAAAGAGAGAGAACAGTGTAATCAACTAAGTTTGGGGAGCACTGAGCATCCTTGGAGATCCCCATTGTGTATTTTCACTTTAACATCCCTGAGACGTCTTGTGATGGGAAGGAAGCCCTATTGCCCAAGTTTACTTGATCATGGGACACTTTTCTGTGGCACCCCTGCTAATATTTCTTAGGACTCTTGTGCTCCGTGGAATTCAACTCGGCAAGTGCCTTCTGTTTGCCTTGTCAGCTAAGCCCTCCTCTAGAGCAGTCTGGGTTTCCTTGAGGAAAAGCCTTTTCCCAACATACAGCAAAGTGGTTGTGTCCACTGCAGACCTACAGCAGAGAGTTACTATCTGTCACCGGGCAGAAGTCAGGAGAATCCCACAAGTCTGTGGGAGAAAGATGAGGCAAGTCAGAGAGGCAGGAAAACCACAGAGGACCCTGGGGAGGCGGGCCTTGTGCCCAAACTCCTGAGCCAGCAGGAAGGAACACTAGGCCTTTGGCACATTATCTCACCCCCATCCCTGGCCCAGCGTGCCAAACCCAGAGACTCGCTGGCCCAGATCTCAGTGGCCACACCTCTGTTCTCTATCTCCCAGAGACAGTTGGCCATGCAGAGCCAGTTTCTCCACCACACCTTATTCCACCCCACCCTGTACCACAGGCCCTGGCCGGGACTTTGGACTTCATCTCTATTCTGCTCCAACTTTCCAGCTATTTTATATCACCATTTACTCATCTTTTGGGAGGAGAAAACACACACACACACACACACACACACACACATACACACACACACACATACACACTAGCTCATATTCTGGCTCATTGATGCTTCTTCTTTCTGTAAGTCCTATGCACAATCTGGGCCAAACTTGACTCCAGACTCCAAAATGTTCAACCATCAAAAGGAAATGAAACCCAGTATCCGTTAGCCAAAACTGCCCACAGTTTAGTCCCACCCTGTGGTAATATTCTACAAATGTCATTCATGAAAAAGATGCAAAGGACAACCTCAAGAGCCTCAGAGATACTGTGGGCCCGGAAGAAGCTGTTGCCATGGAGATGTGTGGGAGAGAGGCCGTGAAAGCTGTGTGGCCCTGTGTAAGTCACGTCACCTCTGGGCCTTAGTTTCTTTTGCTAAAGGGTAGTAACTGAGGTACTCCGTGTATGATACTGATGGGTTTTCTTGATTTATTCTCAAGTTCCTGGCAAAATGGAGGATGGAATACCCAGGACAGGAAAAGTCACCACAGAGAATAGTAAGAATCAAGATTCTGGCCCAGGCTTCCTCCTCTTCCTCAGATAGTAGCGAAGTCTTTAAGAGAAGCTTATGTGTAGTGGTGCCCTAGAACAAACCCCCTAAGAACAAACCACCGACACAAAAGTACCTCAAACTCTTGACCTCTCTTTACTCTTTGCTCAATGAAATTGCATATTACAGACTTTTATTAAGCACCTGCAATGAACAACATCTCACAGTAAGCGCTATGGTAAATTAAAAGGTAAGCAAAGCCTGGCTTCCTGTTCCTGTCATTCCCCTGGAACTCTACTCCTTACAAAATAATGGCCAGTTAGTCTAATGAGATGACAGTAGTGGGTATTATTAATACACATATTAATGTATTATTGCTCCACCCGGGTATCAGGTGCTATCAATAGTGGCTTGAGGGACACAAACAGTGATGATTTGAGGAACCTTGGCAGGTGTCAAGAATAGATATTTTAAAGCCTGACGTCTACTTCAGTCAGCTCTAAAGCCCATCTCACAGCAACCCAAAGCCCCATAAGGCATCCTTGTCAAGTCAACTTCGTGTGCTGAAGCCAGGAACCTCAAATTCAGGGACCACGTTTTGTAAGACACCGTTAGAAGAAATGTAAGCATATTAAATATACAAACATCTAACTTTAGAATCACTAACAGAGCTTGGAAAAACAGAGGCTTGTTTAAAAGGTAGATGTGTGTTTTTAGTTTAGGGGTAGGGAGAAAGGTAATTTAGGGTTAGCGCCAACATGTGCCAGTCCAGCGGGGAGTAAAACCACAGACAGTGAACCTTGGCCAGAGCTCCTGTAAATATAGAACAATCCCACACGTTTAAGGCAGGCAAACTATAGTAATCAACTGAGGAAAAGAAAGCCTTGGACCTGTTTCCCTTTTGCCACAGGGAATGGGGGCGTGGTGAATTTCCATCTCAAAAATCTAAGTTCTGACAGCCTCCCTGAAAATGTGAGAATGGGATAGAATAAGGAAGAGCCCCTTCCTCAGTTGCACCGCTGCTGTCTCAGCTTTGCTTCTGGGACTGCTCCTGCCTCTAGACAGCTCTCCAGGCGGCCTTCGGCGTGAGACCTGTCACCCACCCAGAATTCCTAACGCAGTACGAGGGCAACCAGAGGGCTCCGCACTCCCCATTCTCTCACGGTTTGAACAAGTTCAGGTTCTAGTCTCAGGGGCTCCTATGTCTGATCAGCCGATATGCTTCCCATCATGCTGGCATCCAGGGTCCATAAGGTCCCCTCTCCCAGGGCCAAGCTCGAATAGTCCAGGCGAAGGCATTCAAACATTCTAGTCTTACACGTGCTAAGGTAGCCAGTTGCTTGTCTGGCCCTACAATATCATAATAGCCCAAGCATTCACAGAAAACTTCAGACCTTAAACACATTTGGCTTAAAGTTATTTTTCAAACTATGCTGTTTTCTCACTATTTTTGGAAATCGTTTTAGAAATATTGAAAAAACAATATCGTTTGAAAAAGAAGTTTAAACCAAAGATGTTTGCAACTCCTGCAGCACGTCTGATGATCAAGTTTGGGCCACACTGCCCTACTCCTAACTACACTGCCTGCTCACTGCTGGAGTTAAACTCTCCACGGAGGGGCCTGAGATTATCTGTCAGAACCCAAGTAGGGGAAAGGAACAAGCTATCTTGACCACCCCCATTTGAATGCCACCCCTAAGGTGAAGTTATCTTGCAATTGTTATTTTGGTCCTCTCCACGTCTTCGGACTCCCTAAGTGGGAAGAGAAAGAAGTATTTCCTTATTAAATATCCATTTTGCTTTCCCATCTACGTAACTTGCTTCTTTGGGTGGAAGAAGAAATGTCTATCTGTCTCCTTTGGATGCAAGTAACCTAGTGAGAAAAGGAAGGATTCTAAAAAATAAAAAAATTAAAAAAAAAATACAGAAATGTACCTAGCATAGGTTGAGCATCAACCTATAAATCAAGAGGTCACGGTTCAATTCCTGGTCAGGGCACATGCCCACAATGCAGGCTCTGCCCCCAGTGGGGGATATACAGGAGGCAGCCGATCAATGATTCTCATCATTGATGTTTCCAAATCTCTCTCCCTCTCCCTTCCTCACTGAAAGAAATATATATATATATATATATATATATATATATATATATATATATATATATATATATTAAAAAACAGAAATGCAGTGGGAACATCTTCAGAGCAATAAAACTATAAGGACAAAGTGAAAACTAAGGCAACCTTGATTTAGAGTTTCATACATTAACGTTTTCATGGAAGACACTGACTTAAATGTATTTAGGGGTGTCGAACTCAATCAGAGAAGGGACCAAAATCTAAAATCCAGCCTAAATCGCGGGCCAAATGATTTACTGAACAGTCATAAACTGTCATTGTGATGGAAACGCAGCGGAGTGCAGTGATGACAGCGCGGTGCGGGCCACATTGCAAGGCCTGGCAGGACGGATTTGGCCCGCGGGCCTTGTGTTTGACACATGTGGATGTGATCTACATGATATACCCTGATATATGCATTTTAGTGTTTTTCTTGAAAGCATTAAGAAAAGCAAAAAGCCCTGGCTGGCTTAGCTCAGTGCGTAGAGCATTGGCCTGCGGACTAAAGGGTCCCAGGTTCAATTCCTGCCAAGGGCATATGCCCGGGTTGCGGGCTCAATCCCTAAGTGGGGGGCATGCAGGAGGCAGCCAATGATTCTCTCTCATCATTGATGTTTCTATCTTTCTCTCCCTCTCCCTTTCTCTCTGAAGTCAATAAAAATATAAAGAGCAAATATTTCTTCCTAATATGAGCTATGGATATTTCTAATTACACTGTTAAACAGCATCAGTTCAACCTCACAACTAGAGAAGCTGAACCCCACTCATCACCTAGGATTGACAGTGCTCAGCCTGGCCCCACTGCCCCAGCAGATGACCATTTGAAAGATACCCCTTCACACACAACCACCACTGCTAAACAGGCACTCGTCCTGGGTCCAATGGGACTTCACTTCTATTCCTGAGGACTTGGTTCCCATTCCAGCCAACAACCCACCCTGAAGAGCAAGGCCTTAGAGAGAGAGAGAGCCCATGTGGTTCTGATGTCTTATCAGAAAAATACAGATAACAGTGTCTACCTTATAGAACTGTGGTAGTGATCATATGAGATAACACATTTAAAGCCCAGCAAAGAGATGACTAATAGTAAGAGCTAATAAATATTAATAGTAATCATAGTCAGGGCTTGGCAAAAGTGTGTCTCCCTTTTGGACGACTGAATTCAGCAGGATCTACCTCTCTCAAACATTCTCTTCCACAGGAAAACATAAAACTGACAAATGATTAAAACGAATTCCTGTACTCAATTCTTGGTGGCAATTAAGATACACAAAGTATGCTTCCTTAAGAAATTATTTAGATACACACCGCTCCTGTCAAGACTAGTTCTAAGCAGTCATATGGGGGACAAAGCACACATTTGTTGAAAAGACTGATGTCACCGGAGCCTTCTTTATGCCCTCCCCATCACTTCTCTCAACACCAAACTAAGGTTTAGTCCAACAGCTAACAACAAAGCAGAAAACAAAATATACACACATACCCTAAAGAACAATACAGATTATTTCACACATCCCTCCCCAAAACCATTCAGAATGTTTCCAGTACCTTCTCTTTGAGGCCCCTGAAAACAGATCCCAGCTCTGAAACCCTCCCCAGGGGAGCTGCAATCACCCATGAATGGGCGAGCTCAGACCATATTGCAGCCAAGCGCGGCTGTGGCTTAGAAAGGAGCTGTTCTTTGCAATAGGCCAGCACTGGACAGGCTGCCCAGCTTTCTTTCCTGTGGGGGAGAGAACTTGTTCTCCGTGAATAACTTTGCTCCATGCCCCAGTAGAAGGAGACGTATTTCAGTTTGGCCACAGAGAGTGAGACACATTTCAAAAGTTTTTAGACTTCCCTGAGAAATTAAATAGAAGCAGTCTGGTCATTAGCCACAAAGTCCAAAAATACAAAATGGAAAATTAACAGCACACTATTCCATTCCCTTTCACCTCAAAGCTGCAATTAGATCTAACCCTTGGGCAAGGCAGCCAAGAGAAAGCCAGCTGGAACTCCGGTTTCTGACTCAAAGCTGAGGGGTGGTGCCTGCCCTTTATCCCTCCTCCGGAGAGACGGCTCGGCTCGTGTTTAAGTCTAGGACTGAACCTTTGCCCTCCAACAAGGAAGAACTTCAGATTTCAAAAGGAGAGAATTGCAAGGAAAGGTCACTGCTTTCACTTCCAGAGTCAAGGACAGCAAAAGAGAGTGCCATGCATGCTTGAAGCCAACTAGGGAGTGAAGTCTCGAGAATAACCCAGAATTGCTTCAAATTTCACTTTGAAAAATAAGTAATTTGAAACCGGCAAGCATGTAATACTGAAAAGTCACCAAATGTGCTCTCTGACACCTACACAGACATCCATAATCCTCAGAGGACATCTGGGTTCCGGGAGAAAGCTGTCTCTCCTGAGCTTGTTTAGGACAGAGACCCTGGCAGCCGCCAGCAGGCATCTCCCCGCTGTCTGCTCTCTGGCTCCCTGTCCAGTCTCCCAGAGGCCTGGAGGAAGGAAGGGCCACTTCCGAAAACACTTGAACCCAGCAGTGCCAGGGATTCCTTCAAAACTCTCTGTCATGGAGCAGCAAGTCTGGGAGCTCGGGGCCAAAAGAAATTGCAAGAAGTTATTTCAAACATCCCAAGAGCAGCCGTTTATGAAACTTTTCCTGGTTTCACACATGTTTCAGTCTTGTGCCCTCCCACGCCCCCTCCCATCCCCATTCCTGTGCCACTTGCTCCACATCCTCTGAGAAGTCCCTGCTGAGAGAGGAGGAAGAGGGCAGGAGCGGAGGGGAGGGAACTGTGGAAAGGCTTGGTCCCAGGAGTCCCGTCTGCTGCTTCAGGGAACCCTCCACTCCAGCCTGTGACACCTGCGGGCGGGCGGGCGGCGGGGAGACCCACTGGCCCTCAAGAGCCTTCCCCGGGTTCTTGCACCCGCTGGGCGACCGCCCCGCGTCTCCCCTCTCCGGTGCCCTAGCGACTGCCGGAGCGCCCTTGTCCCCAGACACCGCGGTGCCCACGGCTCAGACTGCAGCCCGGCAAACGGAGCGGGAGCCTCGGGGCGCCGGGCACCCGCTCGGAGGGCGCACTCACTCTCGGAGTCGCTGAAGCCGCTGCTGTCGCTGACGCTGGCGCTGCTCCGCCGCTTCATGCGCTGCAGGTGCTCCTCGTAGTGGAAGTGGCGCGCGTGGCAGGGCGACGCGAAGTCCGCCAGCACCGCGTCGAACTCGCACAGCGCGTCCGTTAGGTCGCCGGCGGCCGCCGAGTCCAGGGCCGGCGCTGGGGGGGCGGGGGGGGAGGAGGACACAGGCTCAGACCTTGGGACCCGCAGGCACCCCATCCCGCCCGCCCGGAGGGGCGCCCGCTCCGGGGAATGGCTAACTCTCTGACAGTCTCCCCTCCCCTGGAGCCCGGTCCCCATCCCGCCGCTTCAGAGAGGACATGGCCCCCCGCGGGTACCACTGCGGCCAGGCCACCGGAGGGAGCTCCCACGCGCCCCGGCTCCGTGCGCCCACGCTCGCTCCCCCGGGGGCGGTGCGACCCCGCGGGCGGAGGGAACACTGAGTCAGGCTGCGCGCGGGGTGGGGCTCGGGTCCTCAGCCCTGGAGAGGGGGGGGGGGGGTGACCCGCCGCGGGCAGGCTCCGCTGGTGCGGATGGCGGGAGGTAAAGTGCAGAGAGAACACGGCATCCCTCTTCTTTCCCGCCTTTCACCAAACCCCACGCCACCACCACCTGTAAACCCCGGGCTCTAAGGGGACCCCCACTCACCTGCGGCGGCGGCGGCCGCGGGGCTGCCCTGCGCGGCGGGCGGCTTCATGGGCAGCTCTGCCCGGCGCGGGCGGAGGGTCCTGGAGGCTCTGTCCCTGCCCCGGACGATCCACTGAAGCGGGGATCGGCGGTCGCGCTCTGTTCCTGCTCTGCTCCCGCTCCGCTCCTGCTCTCCTCCCGCTCCGCTCTGATTCTGCAGCCGGTTCTGCTGCTGCTGTGCCGGTCGCCCAGCGCGGTCTGCACGCGCCCTTTCAGCAGCGCAGCCTCCGCCGGAGCCTTATAGCCGCCGCGGGCGGGGCGGGCGGGGCGGGGCCAGTGCGCGGGGGGCGGGGGGGAGGGCAGCCGCCCGCCGGGGCGCCCTCTCCGCGGACACCGCCCTCGCCACGCGCCGCCCGGGGACCGCAGTGACTAGGACTGGCTGGAGCCCAGGTTACAGCCCAAATATTTACCCGCCGTTTTCCCCGCGCACCCTGACAACCCGGCCCACGAAGATGGCTTTGACGTCACCAGAACCCCCAAAAGTTCATCCTTCGGCTGCTTCCCGCCCTGTGCCCTGAACGAAGGGCAGCCTCAGTTCCCTTCTCTGTGAAATGGAAATGCTGAGCCTCCCGGGTTTGCTGTGAAGAGTAAAGCAGCTGAAGGAGAGATCCAGGGGGCGTCTCCCACGCTTCCCCACCCAACTGCTCTGAGGGACCTAAAAGTTGTGGGTGGAGCCGTGGCGGGGCAGCTCAGTGGGTTCCAGCGTGGCCCCAATGTGCCAAGGCTGCCGCAGTTCCATCCCCATGGGGCACGTACAAAGAGGCAACCAATGAAGGCATGAATAGAAGGAACAACAGATAGATGTTTTTCTCTCAAACCAATAGATAAAAATTAAAAGAAAGAGTTGTGGGTCCAGCCAATGTGGCTCAGTGGTTAAGCCGGGACCTATGAACCAGGAGGTTGCGGTTAGATTCCTGGTTGGGACACATGCCCGGTTTCCGGCTTGATTATTACTGGGGCCTGTGAGAGGCAGCCGATTGATGATTCTCTCTCATCGTGGATGTTTCTATCTCTCTCCCTCTCCCTTCCTCTCTGAATGCAATAGAATCATTTAAAATTTAAAAAGAGTTGTGGGTGTAAAGTGTGGGGGCAAGAGAATCAGAAGTCAGTGGAGCCCACGGTTTACCAACCTTGACTGCTCCCAGCTGAGCCAGAGCCTGAGGACAGTCCCCGCCTTTATTCTGGAGGAGCTTGTTAGGCGGAAGAAATGGCTTCCTAGGTGCAGAGTACCTGGGCCTCTCTGAGTCCACACTCATGGGCCACCCTGCCTGGCTGCCTGGCAGGGCACCGGTTGTGACTGTGAATGACTCCTCTTGTGCTGCCCAATGTAGTAGACACTGACCACAGCTGGCTATTTAAATGTAAAGCAATTAAAATAGAATAAAATGAAAAAATTGAGTCTCTCAGTCCAACTAGACACAGGTCAAGTGCTCAACAGTCATCATTGCTAAAAATTCTACTGGAAGAACTTGCCAGGGTTTCGGATTCGCAAAGCTAGCTTCAGGGAGAAACAATGGTCTTGTCCTGGTTATCAAGGGCCCTCAAGTTCAAGTCTGGCATGTACCATTCTTAGCCCGGAATTACTGCTTCTGTTTTACAGGTGAGGTGCAGAGAGGTTAAGTAGCCCGCTAATCAGGTACTGATGGAAAGGCAGCCCTATCTGGTTTCAGAGCTGCTTTGGGCTTCACCACACAATCACTTCCTCCACAGAGTAGGGTGGAGGACTGAGCAGATAGGAGGAAGAGGCTCCAAATATTGAAGTAGATAATCCAGGTCCTTAAAGCAACAAGGCAAGGCATATATATGCATCTTTTATTTTTTCCTTTTTCCCACCTCCCTTTATAATTTTTTTTCTTTTTCCACTGGTGATGCCCTCAGCTTGCAAAGCAGCAACCAATTGGGCAGCTGAGACCAAGGAAATGCTTTTCAAATGTGTCTCTCCCTCCTGGCAGGGCCTGAGTACAGGGTGGTGGACAACCCAGCCCAGCTCTTGCATCCCTGTCAGTTGAAGAATCAGCCAAGCTGATCTTCAAAACAGCCTGCAAAACAGCTCCAGAGTTTAGGAGCCATTCAGTTTACTGAGAGAGTGACAATGAAGGTAGCCTCTCATCAGGTTGGCTGGCTGTTGCCATCTGCGCCCCATGGTAAAGGAACCCACCCAAGCATTGAGGGGCCCCAACTCAAAGTGTCACCTCTAGCATGGGTGTTACCTTGGTTATGGAAAACTTCTGCTCTCGTTCTCTTTCCTAATTAAAATTTTAATATATAGGAAGATATAGAGAATTGGGTAATAGCACTCTGTGTAGCCACCGCTGAGAATTAACACATGTTAACCTTTTATTTTTGCTTCAGATATTTTTTGAGGTATAATTTATATACAACAAAGTATGCAAAATTTGAGTGTAAGTTCGGTAAATGTTTACCTATGTAATTACCATCCAGATGAAGATATAGTATATTATTATCACCCTAGAAGAGTTCCTATGCCATTTTCCAGTCAATGGGACCCCATAAGTAACCCTTCTGATAGTGAACCCGAGGATTATTAGTTTGTCAATTCTAAAACTCCTTAAACAAAATCATAGTGTATTCATTTTTTTATACCTGGCTTCTTTTGCTTAACGTAATGTCCATGCATGTGTGTTGTTGCAGTATTAATCCATCCTCCTGCTGGTGGACATTAGTTTTGTTGCTGCTGATGATGGGGTGGTCTTACTGGAATAGTGCCGCAGTGAGTATTCTTGCACCTGTCTCCTTGTGTACATGATTACAAGCTTCTAGGATATACGTCTAGAAGTGGTATAACCAAATTGCCTTAGTTATCTCTAGACAGCAGCTTTATATTAGTCAATGACTAGAGATAACTAAGGCAATTTGGTTATCTTATTGGTGCACATAAATACTCATGTCTTTATGAATATTTATGTGCACCATTTATATTATGTGCACTATTTATATTAGTCAATGACTAAGAGATGACTAAGGCAATTTGGTTATCTTATTGGTGCACATAAATACTCACGTCTCTTGGGTTTATACCTAGGAGGGAAATTTCAGAATCACAGGGGAGGCATGTGCTTACCTTTCAAAGATACTATTTTCCAAAGTGTTAAATTAATCTACACTCCCAGCAATGTATAAGAATTCCAATTGCTCCATATTTGTGTCAACATATAATATTGCTAGACATGTTAATTTTAGCCATTCTAGTGAGTGTATACTGAAATTTTTTCCTTTTTTCAGTGGCTTTAATTTACATTTACCTAAAAAGTAATTAAGTTGGCCACCTCTTCATATGTTTCAAATATTTCTTAATAAGAGAAATTAGAATAATACAGGTAAAATTGAAATCCTCTTATCTGTATTTCCCAGTCTTGCCTCCCTCCCTCCCTCCTCAGAGAAAATCAGTACCATATTAGACCATGTTTTTATACCTAAACTATCTACTAATAAAAGCCTAGGTGGCCCTTGCACGTGACATCGCCACAAGATGGCCACCACAAGATGGCCACACACACAGCAGAGGTGGGCCTAGCTGCTGCTCTGCGCAGTGAGCCCTGGGAGTCCCACAGCTCCGCGCAGCATGGAGGAGGCCAGTCCCAGCATCTGCACCATCTCATGTGAAGGAGGCAGGTCCCAGCAGAGGAGACAGGTCTCAGAGGAGGCAGATCGCAGCAGGGAAGGGCAGTTGTGGGTGATCAGGCTAGCAGGAGAGGAAAGTTGTGGGTGATTGGGCTGGCATAGGAGGGCAGTTGGGGACGATCGAGCCAGCAGGGGAGCAGTTAGCTGTCTATCAGGCCAGCAGGGGAGCAGTTAGGGGATAATCAGGCTGGCAGACAGAGGTGGTTAGGGGCAATCAGGCAGACAGGCAGGCAACTGGTTAGGAGCCAGTGGTCTCGGATTGTGAGAGGAATGTTCGACTGCTGGTTTAAACTGGCAGTCAGACATCTCCCGAGGGGTCCCAGATTGGAGATGATACAGGCCAGGCTGAAGGGCACCCCTCCCCCCCCCCCCCCCGCCCCCTGTGCACAAATTTCATGCACCGGGCCACTAGTATTTAGCTCATCTAATAACAGAGTGATATGCAAATTGACCATACCTCCATTACACCCACAAGCCAAGCCACCAGCCAGTCAGGAGCGAGTATGCAAATTAACCCAACCAAGATGGCTGCAGCCACAGAGAAAGCAGGAGGAAATGGAGGTAGCCAAGCTTCCTGCACAACCTGGATGGCTGTGGACTCCACTCAAAGCTACAAAGTTTCAATTATAGAAGATAAATAAATCCCAGATTCTAGGGTCTCCGGTTGGGTCGCCAGGGGGTGTGGCCAGCCTGGAAACCACCACAGGCCCCTCTCCCAGGCCACCTCACACCCTAAGAGAGCCCCCATCATGATCCAGGGCACCCTTCAGGGCAAACTAGCTGGCCCCCACCAGTGCACCAGGCCTCTATCCTGTCTAATAAAAGAGTAATATGCAAATTGGTCATCACTCCAACACACAAGATGGCTGCCCCATAGGGTCAAGTAGCTGCCCCCAGGTGGACACAAGATGGCTGCCACAAGATGGCCAGCAGAGAAGGGCAGTTGGGAGGGACCAGGTCTGCAAGGGAGGGCAGTTGGGGGTGATCAAGCCTGCAGGGGAAGTTAGGGGTCACCAGGCCAACAAAGGAGGGAAGTTGTGGGCAACCAGGCCTTCAGGGAAGGGCAGTTGGGGAGGACCCAGGCCTTCAGGGAAGAGCAGTTGGGGATGACCAGGCCTGCAAGGGAGGGCAGTTAGGGGCAATCAGGCTGGCAGGGGAGCAGTTAGGCACAATCAGGCTGGCAGGGCAGTGGTTAGGGGATGATTAGGCTGGCAGGCAGAAGTGGTAAGGGGCAATCAGGAAAGCAGCCAAATGAGCAGTTGGGAGCCAGCAGTCCTAGATTGTGAGAGAGGTCCCAGATTGGAGTGGGTGCAGGCTGGACTGAGAGACACACACCTCCATGCACTAATTTCGTGCACCAGGCCTCTGATATGTTTATATAAAATGTATACTATTTACATAACTACTTTCGTGTTACAATATGCTTTGTTTTCAGTCACCATTGTTTTCACATATGTTGATACATACAAATCTAGTTTATTCATTTCATCTGCCAAGTAGAATTCCACTGAATGATAATAACACAGTTTAATTATCTGTTTTTCAGTTGATGGACACTTAGGTTGTTTCCAA